TCAGATCTACAGGAGAGTTGTTTTGCTGGTGGTTTGGGGGTGGGGACACGTGCAAGGGATTTGGCTATTTTGGGTTTTTTTCTTTGTGAGGGGTTTTGTTTGTTTGTTTTGGGGGCTTAGGGGGTGTTAAATGTAAAGGAGCATCCCTAAATATTTGACACTGTTTTTGTCCAGTTCTGAGCACAGACAAAGTAACTTCAGTGCACAGAAAGTCTCTCTGTCTGCAAAGCCAGATGAACACATTGCCTGCTCCAGCTTCTGGAAATGGGGGATCTCAAAAATATCCTTCCTCCACCTCATCCTCAGGGCAAAACACGACACAAAATTAAACTCCTGGCTGAAGCTGAGCCCTAAAGGTTGTGCTGCCAGCTCTGATTGCCAAGCCAATCCCACACAGCAGCAAACCCTTGTTCACACCCCTGTCCTGGCCAGCAAGGCAGCACTGCATCCACCAGCAGGGCACAGGCAATGTTAGGCTGAATAATCTGATTTTACCACCCTCAGCTTTGTGTGACCTGTCTGTTCACCACCACGAGCACCCAAGCACCACCTGAGTACACAGAATTATGAGATATTCTGGGTTGGAAGGGACCCACAGGCATCATCAAGTCCAGCTTTTAAGTGAATGGCCCCTAGAGGCATTGAACCCATGTTTTTAGCACCAGGCTTTAACCAGCTGAGATAATCTCAGGGTCCTCAGCTGAGGCTCTTTTGAACAAAATCAAAAAGAGAGAACGAGGCAGAACTTTTGAAATGACCAAACCCTCTTCAACAACTTACAGCAACCCTTTCCTAAAACAGGGGTCAATTTTAGGGGAAAAAAAATATTCTAGAATTAAACGAAAAGAGACAGAAAATTGAACTCTTAATGTTTTAAGTAGCTTTTACTTGAAGCATAATGCAAACAGAGTCGCCTGTAGTACTTTATTGTCACACTCCCCAACCCTGACAGGCACAATAAAAACTGAAGACCACCCACAGTTTTCAGAGCAGACTGCAAATACCAAGGCTGCTCCATAGAAGAGTATCCACAAGAGACTCCCTCTCACACAAACAGGCTACAAGGGGTTGAATCACATCGCTAAAAATTACAGATTGCCCTTACAAGATATGGATTTCAAAATATGCCCCAGAGTTCATGTGGAACATATGGAGAGTTCTTTGATCTAGAAATTCAGTAGCAGAAAAATATAAAATAGGCTATTTGAAAATGTCTAGCATTAGGCAGATGTGTTTGGGTCTAAAACTCACAGTGTTTGTACAAATACCTAATTTTCCTGACTATATATGAAAAAAAA